AAGAACTCCAGACAAAATAACAATTGAGGTCATAAGGTCTCAAAGATAGGTCAAGGTCTCTAATCCTAAGTCCAAGAAGTCCATGTCTCAATAATACCAAGGATAGTAACCAAGTAGTCCAAGTAGAATTAAAAAAAATTTAGGGTTCAAGTTGATTATTAAGTATTCAAAAAGAAATGAAAAGCTCAAGTGAGCAAAATAAAAAATGACATAAAAGTAAATGCTCAAGTGAGCAAAGATGAAAATAGCATGAAATGTAAATGCTAAAGTAAATGGTACATAAAGTAAAGATCATAAGATAAAAGCATAAGATAAAGTCAATTGTTAGAAATTAGTGATTAGTTAAATGACCATCTTGAAACTTGCATTTGGAACTCATTAGAGAATTTGTAGAACCAAAACCTCTCAACAACAAGTTGCATTTGCTTTTTTTCAAGTATATCATCCATTTAAGAATTCCCAAGGCATCATTAAATGATCAATGATGTTTAAATGATCCACTTTGACCAAAATTGATGAATATTCATTAGAGGATTGGTAGAACCAAAGTCTCCTAACAATGAATCTCAAGGTTATTGGATCAAAGGGTTCAAAACAACATACTTGGGCTTGCAAATATAGGTTTGGGCCACGAATGATCATTTTCTCAAATCGAGACAAATTTTAGCGCTATTATAAGCAATCTTAAGTGGATTTATATAGAAGTCGCACCTATTTTGAGGTCGGTCAATAGCAATATATGCACCATACGTTTTGAGACATGATATAGAACTCATGCTCCAATAACATTTAGTACAATAAGAATGGGATAAGATGAAGAGGGATGGGGTAAGGAATAAACCACATTTGAACTAAAAAATTAATCAAACTATTATTAAAACCATTCATCGATTTTTATGGAGTTAGACTCAACACCATGGATCCAATGATGTTAATAAAGTTCATGATCAAAATTTAATAGTCCAAGATCAGCCAGAATATGTACAAAAAAGTAAAATAATATATAAAATAAAAGAAAAAAGGTTTTAAATGATTTTTAAATTTGGAAATAGGGGAAAATAGAAACTATATTCAAAATACTCAAGAATAATTAAGTGAGACCATAGAAAAATCAAAAATAAACTCAAATGTTTTTATGAAATGTTTAGTAATTTTTTAAAGTCCGAAGCTATTTTTAAACTAATTTAAATGGCTCAAAAAAAGGAAAAAAGATCAAAAATAGTAAAAGTTAAGATAAAATTCCACAAAAAAATTCAGAAGGTTAGAAATAATGAAAATTACTTTTATAAAAAATTTCAGAATTTAAAAATGTCAAAAAGAATTTTTAAAACAATTAAAATAAAGCCAACAAAGCAAAAATCATGAAAATATCAAACATCAAAATAAAAATATGAAAAAATATTCACAAAGTCAGAAATAATTCAAAGTATTTTTATATATTTTTTCATAATTTTTGGATAAAAAATAGGAGTTATGAATTTTTGAAATTTAAAACAATTAAAATATAAAATCAGAAAGTAAAAATAAAACTAAAAAGATGTGGACCATCAGATCATAGTCAAAATGTGTTAGTAAGCTGATCAAGTGGACCAGACACACTGTGCTTGATATGGACCTTAATTAAAAATACACTGGATCAGAAAATAGTCAACGAATCAGAATAAAATAATTGACGCGCTATCATTGGTTGAGATGAGACATGTCATCGTCTTCATTCTCCAGACACCCTGCAATGGAAATTTTGTGAGTTTCTTCAAATTGAAAAATTAAGAATCTCATACTAGTATCATTGGATTCGTCTCTTCAAGACGATCCTAACCCCACCATCGCGCCAAATTTATGTAAAGTGTGCAAAGAGATATGGATTAAAAACTCAAAAAATAGCGAGCACCTTTCAGTTGAGATTTCTCTCTCAATTCTCAATGAATTTAAAAATTGTAAGAAGCATAAGAAACAAAAGGAGAAGTAGAGTAAGTTAGTGCTTCGTTTGGGTTTAAATGGTAGAGAGTTCTACCTGTTCAAATTTCAAGAATGAAGCTCTGAAATGGACTTATGTAACTTGATTTATGGCTCGTTCTGCTTGGTTTAAGTGTTGGAGATCTTGTATGATGATGGAGGATGATGAATGTGCAAAGAACTTTGGAGAAAGAAGCTTAAATCTCATAATATGATTTCAAAAATTTGAAGTTCGTGTGAGGTTTTGCCATGGTACATTTGGCTCTTAAACCTTGAGAAAATGAATGGAATAGGGTCCTCTATTTATAGGAAAATGAATGACAATGAAAATTGGAGAAAACAAAGAAGTTTGGAGGGAAATTGAGTGAAAGTCGAACACGAGTGAAGTGTGACTTCATTTTCATCAAAACTCATCGAATCTTTGCGTTTTGAGGTGCTAAGCACTTCTGGCTAAACACTTCTGGAAAGTTTGTTAATCAAGTTTAAATCAAAAACACGCACAAATATTTTGATTAGAAGCCACATTATGGATTTCATAATTCTGACTTGGTGAGAAATTCAGTTTCAAGTTACCAACTTCAAAATAATGGCATTCTCAACTCAAGGGGTCTTAGGGCATGATTCTTGAAGCTTTAGAAAGATGTGATTACAAGCTTTAAAATGTTAAAATAATGGAATCAAATGGATGCTTGATATGAAAGTTGCAATGAGTCAAAGTTGATAAAAAAGAGGTTGACTTTCTATACTTAGAAAATTTCTATGTTTTTCTTCAAAATGACTTGTAATGTCTTGCATCCAAACATGGCTTTCCTTTTAAAATTTGCTATTGACCGAAAAATATGGTATAAAGTAGATATCTTGAATGACATTTTGACACTTGAACCATTCAAAATATCCAAAATTTGAGAAAGTTATGACTTGTTGAAGTTGGAAAAAACTCATGAAATGATCTATAATATTTCGCATCCTTAGGGCATCTTCCATCCATTTATACACTTTGCACTTAAAAGATGGGTTGAAGCTCACATATTTAAGATCATTATGGAAAAAGAATGGGTTCAAGGTGACAAAAATTGACCAAGTTATGATCTTTTGAAGTCACCTAATGGAATTTGAGGGTTCATCCGGAGGACTTGTAATCTTTCTTTATCATCAAGTTTCTTTCACACAAAATTTCCTTGAAACTTTTTAAGTGAATTGTTAATGATCCTTTGAAGATAAGTATGTCTTTGGAATCACTCAAAGATACCAAAATATGAGTAAGATATACCCCTTTGAAGTTCAAAACCCTAGCTCCTAGAGCAACAAAATGCTTTGGGAAACCTTTGCAATTTGATCAAATTTCTTGCACAAATACTTTTGTCATATAAATAGAAGTTGTTGAGGATTGTGATGAGATACCATAGCAACTAACACCACTTCCATATCTTGATAATTGAAGGAGATATGCACTTGTGATCGATGGAAACAAAGACTTGTCCAACCCTGCCAAACTTCTTCAATCAATCCTTGTTCCTTTGAACTATCTTTGACAACTTGAAGTGTGATGAATCATAATAGGCTTTGTCATGATGTTATTTCAAAACATCTTCAATAGTGAAGCTCAAAACTCAATGAAGCTTTATTAAGGAAGGCACGAGAATGCTCTCATGAAACTATAGATCAACTTGATGGAATGTATTGTGCTTTCACCTAAAACATCATCAATTAGGGCAAACACTCCTTGTATTTGTTAGTTAAGAGTTAATCACTATAAAACATATATGATTACAAAACACAAGTCAATGTTCTTGGTGATTCCTTATGAGCAAAACTTAAAGATAAGGAGAAAAGTCAAACCCTAGTGTGATCTTGTTGTGATTGAATTGACGTGATGTGATAGAGGGATCTTAGGGGGGAAATTAGGGTACAACAAATGTGAAAATGAAAAGATGAGAAAGAGAATGGGGGTGCATGTCGTAAGAGGAGAAGAAGGCAAAAATTGTGAAATGTGACATTGATAATGCATATGTTACAGGTTATTTGTTACTTATTTAAGATTTAAAAGTGACCAAATCAAGATTGGATTAGACCGTTCAATCAATGAAGTAAGGGATCCATGCAACTATTCATAACGGATATGAGTGAATAAATGATTCTAGTGGATTGCATCAAATGTTATTTGATCTTTTGGGATTGATAAATATTGATTTTTGATATTTTTAATCTACCGACGAGTTATTTATTATTTATTTGAGATTTAAAAGTGACCAAATCAAGACTGGATTAGACCACTCAATTAATATGTTGATTTTTGATCTTTTGAAATTGATAAATGTTGATTTTTTATATTTTTAAATGAAGACCTATGGGTATGAGGGAATAGAAATTATTCTACAGAGAAATTCATATTTATTTTTTTTGGAAATGCTACAAGTATACCATAGTTGCAATCCATTTAATTTTTTTAGAAACAGTAGCAGCTAGGCAGCTACAACCGATTGCAGTAAAAGAGTAAAATTATATTATTACAATTTATATTGATATTTTTATATAATTTTATTTAATGAGCTCTTAGACTTTTAGTTTATTATTATTATATAATGTAGTTTCAATATGGATAAATTAAATGAAATGAAAAGTCTTCAATAAATTATTAGTTAGTTTTATTTGTCTCTTATTTCTTTATTAACTAGTTTTTTTTTTATAGGATTTCTATTTAGCTTTGTATCACCAACCAATTGTACTGAGTAAAATTTTGAGAAAAAGCAGTTACAATCGATTGCCAAATATGCTAAAAAAAATGTAATGCAGAAAAGTTGCAATCGGTTGTACATTAAAAAGTTATTTTTTAATTTGATATTATGACAACAGGTTGTGGGATGATCAAAAGCAATATGGGATTATCACAAATCAAGTATGAAGGAAATCAGAGAATGAAAGGGATGCAAATTTTGAATCTTATCATGGATTTTCAATTTTCAAATTTGCAAAATGACACATATAGTACTTGACACTAAGTACTTTAGAATCATATTACTACAAACAAAGTATTGTATTTATAATTAATTGAACCTAAAAAGGATAAAACCAGAGACAAAAGAGGCTAAGGCAAAGGCAACAAATACTGAAAAGGACATAGCAACAGATTCATTCGCCATTTCTATGAACTTGTGTGCACCATGTTCAATCCAATAGCTTCTCAAAACATGAGCTCGAGTTGCAGCTGATGATGAAGCTGACATTAGAATATATGCCAAAGCCTACAATTGAAAACAAGTCATTAAACACACTTGCTTAGTATATAAGAATTTGCTATGATTCGTGAAGCTAAAAATCATATGTATAAATTTAATGACCAATTTATAAAATATCATTAAGCCTAATTGCTAATTTTAACAATCACTTTGACATTTCCTTTTATAAATTGGTTACTATGGTAAAAAAAATTATAGGAATAATATCATAAGAGAGTCACTTAATAATGCTAGATATAAACTAAATCTATTAATAAAATAAAGTATTGTTTCATGTTTCAAATTAATTTAACTTTTGACCACTATTTAATGATGGCATTTTTGTAATTAATATATCTTTCATGTGGGTTCAACTCCTCTGATCAATGTGAAAATCTTATGATGGGTAATTTATTAGTACCTCTATAAGTGTTATTTGAGACTTAAGGTTTGCAGTGACTTTGATGAATCCCTGAAGTCCAACTCACTTAAATTTTCAAACTTTCAAGACCTAAATTCTTATAAAAGAAGTTATCGTGAGGGGCATTATTTTTAAACTACATTTCTTTTTTTTTTTATGAAAATAAAAAAATACATAATTTTTTTAATGAAAATATAAAAATGAACAAAAAAATTAGGCAAAAATATGGGAAATATCTACGTTATTCTAAACCAAAACAGAAAAATAAAAAATGATATATATTAATTAGGCCAAAAAGAAGTCAAAAAACAAAAACAAAAAAACAAACAAACAACATAGCCATTTGCCCCCCACTCGAGACCTTCATCCATCATAAGCAAAGAGAAGCATTGTGGAACTTATAATAAAAAAGAATAGAAAATACCAACCAAGATATACAATAAACTTGGACGAGAACATTATAATCAATAATCTAAAACAATATTAGGTCAAACACATGAGAGGATCTTGTTCTCATTCAGAATGAGAACAAGAAAAGCTATTAGATAAAGAAAGTGACCACTTTTACGGAATAAATATAATCTTATCCATTATGATTAGAGAAAATAAGGTTGTTATCCAACTTCCCGATGAACCACACAAGTGATTTCCAAATCAAATCCAAGTTGAAGGCATCTATGTCTCTCAACTTAACCATCTAAAAATATTATACAATTACACTAAATACAAAATCACAAGTTTTAAAGAGGTGATTAGTCGACTCCACCTCCCTACCACAAAACTCACAAAATGTATTGTTATATCCCACAATAACCTTCCTCTTAAACAAGTTTTGGAGAGTTGGAATTTTATCTAGAAGTAATGGTCAAGAAAAATCCAAATCTTAGAAAGGGTCCAACTTTCACACATGTTTGCTAAAATTAATATTAACTCCATTGAGTAATGACAAGCTCAAGCTCATTGAGTAATGACTAAAAAGTCATGCATTCACCATTAAGAGTAACAAATAAAGATACTAACAACTCCTAATCCCCTACAAATACAACTTTCATCCACCTCAGATCCAAAATCTTCAAACTCTCCATCCACACACTATTTCATCAATCTTAGCATATCCTTAATCATAAATCTAATAGAGCCTATAGAATTTCTCATATATAGAGACACCTTAACCTAGTTGTCCTTCTAGAATGATAGCAATGATGATTCCTTAGAAAATTAGTTTGAGCTCGAGTCTAAATTAACTCTAAGAAGAGAAATAAATATCCACCATAAAAAGGTATACTTAAATCTCTCTTAATTGCATCTTAAGCGGGATAAAGGAATTTTATTATTCATAAATAGTTATGGGAAATCACTCATTAAAGTGTGACCCCTTGTAAGGGTCCTCCAACACTATTTACCCAATAGAGCAAGGTTAATTAGGAAAATATATCTTACCCAAAATCCATCTTTACTCTTTGGTTTACACACCTTAGACCAATTGAACCATGAAATTTTACTTAGACCCATAACAATTCTTCTAGTAAGTATCCTCTAGATCCATTTATCTAAGAAATCAAGGTTAAATAGGAAAATATATTTTTCCCAAAACCCGTATTTTACTCTTTGACTTACACGCCTCGGACCAACTGATTCATGAAATTTATTTAGACCTTTAACCCTTCACGCACCTCTCTCTCTCTCTCTCACACACACATTAGAGAAAACACCTCTATAAACAATCAAAATATTGTCACATTTTACTGGGAATCTTCAAGATAAGGATCGTGTTAAGGATCTCGGTGGAGTTAAGGATCATTTTAATAATTATCATTCTCTTTTAAATGATAACATACTTATTACTCCATAATAATGGCCTATTAGTTATCATACTAACCAAAAGTTCCCAAAGAATCAATTATTTGAAAGGGAATGATTCCAAATTTTTGTTTAAGAATCACTTAATCAACCTTGAGGAAGAATTTAGAACATTCACACCCAACACGAAAAATCTTAGAAAAATTAACTCTAAGGCCAGACAAAACTCAAAACACATAAGAACGATCTTAAGTGACCAAAGATTCCCAACTAAGATTTCTCACAATAAGATAGTGCCATCAACATGTTGAATGTGAAAGACTATAAACTCATTATTTCCAACCTTGAATCCTAAAAATAACCCAAGAGCATGTGCATGTGTGGTCTATGCATTGAGAACTTCCACCACCAAAAGATAAAGGAAAAATGTGAGGGTATCCCTCTACTTTAGCCTTCTATGATTACATAGATTTTGATTTGAGAGCTCGTTGACAAATACTTATAGATCCCTTGATAAGACATAAGCCTAAACCCAAAAAATCTACTTAGTCCATCCATAATCCCACCCACATTATCATGTAATCAAGAAAATTTCAACTAACTTAGTCATATTTCATTTTAAAGTCTACCTTAAACATAAAGCACTCATTTCTTTTTTTATTATGGATATATCTAAGAACAAATATAGCTTCATCACCCCATTCACGAGATGTCTATCCTTAATGAAGGTTGACTGATTAGATTAAATGATTATATATATCATCGATGATAATCAACACTACTACAAAACGCGCAAACAACAATACCTAAGTCACCACGTCAAAGGATTCACCGTGGTAGAATCTATTCAACTAGGCGTTTTTTTTTATTTTCATATTTAAGTCACTTTTCACCACGGTTGGAAGTTCCAACCGTGACAAGAAGTGGCAAATGGTCATGAGTTTGAATCTTGTTGTTATTGTTGTTCTATTGCTGCATTTTTTTATATTTTATCAAAAGACATAAAACAATGGTTATTTAATAGAATTGTTTTTGTATGTAACGTGATTTTTTAGTTTCTTCACCATCCTTAAATAAATCTCAGTCGTCCATTCAGTGACTATCAATGCTCAGGATACTACCGTTAGTGATCTGCATGAAACCTAAAACTTAGACAAACTTCCAACTTAAACAAACTTCGTCTTCTACCTTCAAACATAATCTTTCATTTACGACACTCTATTTCTCGACTAAACCAAGCTCAAAAATATAATTTCTTCCATAAACAAAACTTGAAAGCATCATTTCTTTATAAATTTCAGAACTTCATAATCTATCTATTCTTCAACTTGAATGAGACAAGGAAAGAATGGATTCAAATTAGAAATTTTAGTTGTTGTTGTTCTTGTTCTTATTATTGTTGTTCTTGTCGTTGTTATTATTGTTGTTATTGTTGTTATTGTTGTTGTTGTTCTTGCAACACTTGATCTCACCCCTTGTTTAGAAAGTTAGAAGAACACGAGAAGAACTCAATTTCTTAGAAAAACATGAAAAGAAGCTTAAGAAAAAGAAAAAAAAGAATAAAGACACCAACAAGGAGGAAGGATTGAAGTCTAAAGCTCTAAGGGCTTCAAGTTCAAGATCCTCAAAGGATGAGAACATTAATGACATTGATTCTTGTGATGAAGATAATTCAAATGATGAACAAATGATATTATTTGTGAGGAGATACAATTGATACATTCGGAAGAATGGAGTCAAACACTCTGACAATAATCTTGTGAATTTAGAAGACAATCCACAACCTCTAAAGATGAAGACAACAAAAGAGATAAGACAAAGAGTATATGCTATGAATGCGGAAAGTCGGGTCATTATAGACCGGATTGTCCCTCTCTTGCCAATAAGAAAGAAAAAGGCAATACTACAAATATCACAAAGAACAACTCCCCAAGTCACCATGTCAAAGGATCAGCGTGGTAGAATCTATTCAACTTGGCGCTTTTTTATTTTCATATTTAAGTTATTTTTCACCACGGTTGGAAGATCCAACCGTGGTAAAAAATGGTGCATGGTCATGAGTTTGAATCTTGCTGTTGTTGATGTTCTACTGTTGTATTTTTTATATTTTATTGAAATATATACAACAACAGTTATTTAATACAATTGTTATTGTATGTAGCGCTCATGTTCATGAGTTAGAATCTTGTTGTTATTATTCTTCTACTGCTGCATTTTTTATATTTTATTAAAAGGCATACAACAACGGTTATTTAAAAATTATTGTTGTATGTAGCATGAATTTTGAGTTTTTTCACCATCCTTAAATAAATCTCAGCCATCCATTCAGTGACTATCAACGCTCAAGACACTACCGTTAGTGATCCGCGTAAAACCTAAAACTTAGACAAATTTCCAACTTAGACAAACTTCATCTTCTACCTTCAAACATCATCTTTCATTTATGACACTCTATTTCTCCACTAAACCAAACTCGAAAATATTATTTCTTCCATAAAAAAAACTTGAAAGCATCATTTCTTTAATTTATAAATTTCATAACTCCATCATCTATCTATTCTCCAACTTGAATGAGACAAGGAAAGTATGAATTCAAGTTAGCAATGTTAGTTGTTGTTGTTCTTGTTATTATTATTGTTATTCTTATTATTGTTTTTCTTGTTGTTGTTGTTGTTGTTATTGTTCTTCTTCTTCTTATTGTTTTTTTTGTTCTTGTTGTTGTTCATATTGCTCTGGTTGTTGTTCTTGTTGCTCTTACTGCTATTGTTGTTCTACTGCTATTTTTATTTTATATTAAAAGACTTACAATAATGGTTGAGTTAACTAACTATTGTGATATCACAGAAACTTTCCAGTATACTACAACGGTCTCAGGACCGTGATTGTAAGTAAGGCATTTACAACAATACTCTACATAATAACGCCTGGACCCGTATGATTATTTTTTTTTCAACCGTTGTTAAATTTTCTTTTCGTAGTAGTGCGAGCATCTTAAATCTTAGCCACAAAATTATAATAGGACCTCAGAAGCAAGATAGGTTAGAAGTTACCTAGGGAAATCCACCTTAGGGATCAGAGTATCAAAGTACGATATAATCCTTAAAGACTCACATTGAAGAACAATTTATCAAACCTCATTTATTAATGTGGGCCATAACTTTTTAAATAAGGAAAATTTGAACTATTATGTGCCCTACACTCTTATTACCATCATAACTTGAAACTGTATAATTAATTTGTTCTAGCTTGAATGGGGCTGAAAAGTGATTATTATCTTCTAAAGAGATACCCACGAAATCAATATCATCAAACGTCGGACGATCAATAATGTTGTTTGAGTAATGTTGTTCTAAAAAACAAACAACCTTAGTGTGAAACACTTGTCACACCTTCCACCAAGCTCATATAACCTAAAGAATCGAGATTGTGTTCCTCCTCGCACGCTTCTTAACACAAGAGTTAAAGAACAGTGTGTTTGCATCACCCTCCTTAAGCCATCTCGATCTAGACATTTGGAATACATGAGAGTACTTATCTTTAAGAAATATATGAAGCTCATCAAATGCCTTACTCCAAGGAGAGAATATCCCTCACTAGTAAATTCCACCTTTTACCTTTAAGTCCGTACTTTGATCTTACCCATTGTATTCTCAACTCTCAAGTGTAAATTACCGAAAACCTCCTTACCCCAACTCTTAAGAGTACATGTTAAGCTCTTCAGCTTGTCTCTAAGAATGTCAGACCTCCATTCTCTAGACTCCCTCCAACTATTAGCAACCACTTATGCTAATAGTTATTTAACCTTAAAGAATTTGGCCCCCGCAAATGAGATGAATGCGTTAGTTGGTCCACACGTCTCCAACCACCCCTCGAATGAGAACACACGGTCAAGATGACTTATTGCACTACTGCTCGGTTAGAGTCAAGTAAATTATCTACCCAATAAAAAAAGACCAACCATAAGTATAAACCCTTTTGATTCTTGTGAGGCTCTACCTCATGCCACAGAATTATCAGGACTCTAAGAAGTAGGTATGACAAATAAATCTGCCTACGTCGACCCCGACCGCCGTCGCCTCGAAATTAGCGGGGAAAACCCGAAATAACTGGGGACGGGTGCGGGGAAAATCCGATTTTTTATTTACGAGTGTGGGTGCGGGAGCGTGTGATGCTAGTATCCGCCTTGCACCCGCACCCGCCCCGCACTCGCCAACTAAACTTAATTTATTTCATTTATTTTTAATAATTTTATTACTCATTTACACTTTTTAATGTTATAATATCATGTTTATTAGAATTATTATTTATTTTTTTTGAAAATAAAATTTAAATAAAAATATCAAACGTAAAAAATGCTTTTAAAATAATTAATTATTTAGTTTAATTATTGATTTTTATTTTTATTAAAAAATATATAAATTTAAAAATTAAAAAAAAATTTATTCGGACGGATGTAGGACGGGTGCGAGGAAACCCGTTTCTTATTGGAGACGGGGGCAGGGGGACAAATATTAACTACGGCCGAATTTGGAGACGGAGGCGGATCTAAATCTGAGTGACGAATACGGATCTGAATGTGTTTAAACCCGCCCCCCCGACCAACACCGTTGTCATCCCTACTAAGAAGTTGAATTTCCAACTATCCGATTTGCCTTCCATTAAATTATTTGATTAATATGCAATTAGTTATAATGTTAACAAAGTGATACTCAAACTTGTTCATTCAATACAATATGAATTACCATGACTAATTTATATCACAAAACTCAGAATTTATTCTTCCAAAATCCAAATAACAAAATTACTTTTTTTGAATATTATTAGTTTGAACTTGCTTTAAAAACCGTAGGCTTTACCTGATCAATAACAAGATTGAAGTAACCTAGCAACTTGGGGTTTATAGCATGCTTCTTTGTGACCAAGAACCTCACTAGATAACAAATTTGCAATCCAGAATACACAAATCCAATCACATTCACTGAAAAACTATACCTGCATAATAACATCCAATCCAAAATCACACACCATCATCACATTTAACTATAATCACAAGGCAAGTGCAAACAATAGCAATTGCAACATATAGAAGATCTCAAGTTCTACAGACACAAATCTCACTATTATAAGACAGACGGAGAGAAGGAGAGAAACATACCTGAATTCGCCGTAATCATAACAATGGAACTCATATGGAGTTTTAACCGAAAATCCGCTTGAGAACCAATTTGTTATTTCCTCATTTACCAAAACCCTTTGCTCACAAGCAGCCAATATAGAGAAAGCAATCAAACATAACACCAAAGCAACAATCCTAAGCCCCAACAAAGCCATGTACCACTTCACCTCTTTCTTGGACCTCAAGAAATTTGATAAAACTTCATTGCCTCCCCTTATATCATTAAGATCCATCATAGTAACCTTCTCCTCCAAGACTTCTACTTCAACTTCATTGTTCTCTTCAAGTCTTTTTTCTTTCAATTCATCTTTTGTATCTTGAGTTAAGCTTTCAATGCTACTAGTACTCATAGTGGAATGTTCAAAAATCAAAACCTTTGCAGCTAAGAACACAACTAGCTGTAGTTTTAGTTTCCACTTTGAGTAAAATGAACACTGCTTAAAATGCATGCACCTTTCTGGCATAAATATCTCCCAATTTACTAAAAAAACCACTATTGTTATTTTTTTCTTTAATCACAATTATTGTACATTTAAAATGAAATTATCTTGTTTAGTTTAAGTTTGTTTTTACCTCTAGACTTTTGGTGTGTAATAAGTGATATGTATGATTTATTTTAGCGTTTTACTTATGAGAACTAGAAAGGACCTTGCCTTTTCTTCTAGGTGGAAAAAAAACCAGCTTTTGGCCATGATGAGAAGTACCATGTCCAATCCCATACACAAAAGATGAAATATTTTTTATAAGATAAAATCACTCCAACAAATTCTTATATATTTATGAATGACAACTGACAACAGCCCGAATAGAATAAGTTTCCTGTTGATTACATTGTGAAGCCAGAGAGGTTTTGTATAGTGATTATTTTTCAGCTTTAAACTTTAAAAAATAGTGTAAACAGTCATTTTGATTTAGATGTATAAGGCGTTGCATTAAAGTTCTTTAATATATCAAAATTATAAATAATATCCAAAAATGTTTGGGTGGTGAAAAGATAATGGTAAATAATTAATTTATTCCAGAATGTTTGTTTGCTTACTATTATTAGTAGTACCATTGATTATAAGCACCAGTTTCCAGCGTAAGTAAACATTTATATCATGAAGCCAATAAAATTGGCTTAATAAGGAAGCCTTACACTTGTGCCAAATGTATGATTAAGAAGGGTTTAACATTTTAACTCGTGATAAAAAAAAACCTTTTAACTCATGTAAATCATACCCCCTTTGAAAGAAAAAAGTCTAAAACAACATTGGCTAAAACCCTATTTTACATTTTACATTCTACAGATCAAGCTATTAGTAGCTAAAACCTTGTCACCAGTCACAACTGAGCAAAGAATTCATGAGCTTCCCGGTATCGATCCAAAACCACATTAAAGAGAGGATGGATGGGTTCTAAGAGATTAGAGTATGGGCCCATTACTACCTTAGGCAGCGGGGGAGAATGTGGGCGCTTTGACCAACTATATTGGCACAATGACAGCCCACTTAAACAGTAACATGAATGATAATGATCCCTGCGTTTACCCGGTTTGTCTCTGAGTCCACCATCTTGCTCCTGCATCAGTCAAGCATTGATTAACAACGGTTGACCGATGGATGAAACATTAGAGAAATTATAATATAATGAAACCGTATAAAGCAGAACTTCCATTTCACGCTTTCAAGGGATCAAGTCATGAAACAAATATACAAAATATAAAGTGCTTACCTGTGTGCATAAAAGAATATATTGCTGTAAGGCAATGCTGTGAAAAAGTGGTTCACTTGCTCTCCACTGATTTATAAAGTTATAACCAATACTTTTAACATCGGATGAGCAGGATGCACTCATGCCTGCAAGGATTCAAATTAAAAGTGAAGTGTTAGTTAATGTCATAAGAAACTAAAATAGAAACATATGTAGATGTTAAAGGGAAAACTTAATTTAATGATTGAAGAATTTTTTCAAAGTCAACCTACCTTCATGCCTTGCACGGGAAGTTGCGTGATTTGAGGTTCCGTCCAAACTTTCCTTTTCTTTAGGTACATCAGATATTGCAACAAACTGTAATGCCTCTGCCATTTGTTCGTCAATAATAGAATGTAATCTTTGCAATAGTGCAACAGCACCTCCCTGATTACTTTCATATTGTAAGCCAATTATATCACAAAGAAAACTGATGAAGAAAATTCAAATTTTCAATCACCTGCCAAAACGAGTAGCATCCATCCACCAATTTATTCGTTCTCCCCTGAAATCCACACTCCTTACCTTGCCGAAATACAGCCCAATCCTAATGCAAGGAAACATAGTATAAATTTCATACAAGCTCAAAAACTCTTACAACCAATTGGAAAGAGCAACTCTCTTACAAGTAAACGAGGCAGATCCAGGCGATTAACTTCACCAATCAGAATCATTGTAGCCAACCCACAAAAGGTATACCTGATAATAAAATATTAAAATCATGATATGACTTATGATACCTCCCTTTTGTTATTTATTCCAAATCATATTATTGTGAAGAGGTATAAAGAGAAATGAGAGAATGGCGAGGGATGGAAAGTATGATTATACATACCCGCCATGAGCCTCAGACCCAGGCTCACCAGCAATGCCTCCCTCATATGTTTGACAGCTGCAAATAAACAACATAGAGATAATACATGTATTACATTTTACATAACAGATAATGCACAGTATGCAATCAATTGTTTAGATTTCCTAGTTGACAAATGAACTATTCTCAGCAAGAGATTTAGTGCTCTACAAAACCGTCAAATAGGAGGAATAATGATAAATGGAGATAACTCATTCCTTCAATACCCCAAGGCACTAATATTGTGGCCTTTGGGACTTTCTGGTATTAATCTATTACCCAATGTTATAGTTAGAGTTAGAGGTCCCATTTAAGGCCAAAAATAGTTAATGAAAAAAATGACAGTTTGCCTTATTGCCAAAATCATTAGATTAGCAAAAATGGAGAGAATTCAGTAATCCTTTGCTGTCATACATATACCAACAAAGTCATGACTAATGTAATGTCACTTTCAATTGTTACCAGTGTTTATACTTTAAAGGTCACATGCGAGGCCCCACATACTCAATGAAGAGATCATTAAAAATGTTTTCTCAAATGCCAGCTTATTTTGAACCCTTGCAAATTGCTCTTAAGGAAAACTACTCAACAATCAAAGCAGTAGGAACAAAAGTAATGAATTTGACTTGTACAATGTTTCTGTTCTAAACATTGCAAGAGCTTCTTGAAATTACATTAAAATGTTGTACAATCAACCTGGAACAGTGGAGACAGATTTAATTTCAAAACTAAAGCAAGTTCTTCTTGAAACTAACCTTAAAATGAAGTCTCCAACATTCCTGATCAGCTCATTATCCAAAATGTTCAGAACACTTGCTACCTGGCTCCAACAAGATTCCCAATGTTATGTAACAGATACTAGCCTTAGCATTAAAAATATCCCACTCTCTCAATGAAAATAATAGAGGATAATGGTAGAAAAGGTCTAAAGTTATAGCCAATTGCTACGACATCTTGTCATTCCTAACTAGTAAAGTAGTTATATGCTATATGAGCCATGTCTAATACAATAAAACTATCCATGATGTTGATTAAAATAAGTGCAACATCTGTGCATATAATCATATTTACACAACTACATAAGCAAGAAAGACATACAAAGAAAACCAACTTACAGAGATGGCAGTGTAGCAAGCTCGAACGTCAATTTCTCCCGCGTCATGCATCCTGAATAAAGCATTTGATGATTGAAAAAGAAAATAATGAACAAAAAAATATGGTTTCCCGAATAAATTCTGAATGTGTCAACAAGTTCAATAATTAGCATTAAAAGTGCTTTTAACACGCGACTCAAAGTCACATCATTTAGATTTGTGCATGATGGCAGATTCAAATTTTTCACACAACTGGCCCCACAAACATTACCAAATCAAAATCTGTCATTATTCATATGTGTGAATAATGTGTATCTTTGCAATGTGTTCAAGCATAAGATGGATATGCAAGCATTAACGTGCCAAAGAAGCCTGATACAACTAAAAATGGGATATGGGCAGGCATCAATGAATTTCCAGAGTAGTCAAAAGCGGTGCTATCCCGCTATAGCGGAGCGGAGGCCGAATGCTATGGCTTTGGAAAGCGCCTTGGCGGTGCAGAACACTATAGCGGCTGGCGGCCGCTATATGTTTGTTAAATAGTGGGATAGCGGAGCAAAGCGGTTCATGGCCCGGAGCGGTTTCTGGCACGCTATCCTTTTCCCCTCTAAAAAACCGAAATTACCCTTAATTTACAATGTTTTAAGGGTAATTTTGGGCTTTTCAATAAAATTGGAGTAGAGACTCAACCTTAACTTTCTTTTATAGTCGTTTATGCACTTCAATAGTTTGATTCTGCGTTGCATAGGTACGGGTGCGTACCCAGTATCAGATACAGGTACCGGTACGAAATACGACATTTTTAGAAAAATTAAGGTACGGGTACGTTAGTATAACTTTTTTAAAATATAATTATAAAAATAACAAAAGAACTATATTATTTAAATAACAACAAAACATTAAAATAATAAGTTGCTTAAAAAAAGTTAATATGTGCGCAACATAAATAAATCACACTTAAAAGTATCAATAAATCATGAAATCATGACTGAATATTAATATTTTCCTCTCCAATATCATTAAAAAGAATGACTTCTAGTTCAGGTTCATCGAGAGAAAGACTAACAACTTCAAGAATATGAGCTCCATCAAATAGATCTCATTCATCTCCACCAATATCCCACATTTTTGTTGCTCCTTCATTATAAACCTTACTCTTTCTTCGAGAGAAGACGGAGATTTGTATGAACAAAAACTAAATCCTCAACTCTCTTTGGATTGAGTCTATTTCTTTTCAATGAGTGAATACTCATATGTGCTCTAATTTCTCCCGGCAGAAGATGAAGAACATGGGTTAAAAAGAAGTTTCAATGTAATAGATTGGTTTTTCTTTCACTTTTTATTTATTTATAAATAGAATAAATAATCTAATTTTTACCCAACAAAAAAAAGCCTAAATTATATCATCCAAAAAAATAAAAAAAGTTGGGTATGTGGTACCAAATGTGTATCGGTTGGTCTACCTACTTAAAAATAAAATAAAAAAATTGGTACGGCTTCGGTGCATACCGGGTGCGTACCGTACGCATACCGGTACCCGGTACATACCCAGTACCGGTACTTTACCTAAAATGGAGTACTCGTGCTTTACAGGTTTGATTTATGAATATTTTATGAGTTGAGTTATTTGTTTAATTTTACATTAAATATATGTTCATAATTATTATATGTA